TGGCTGCACCGAGCCATTTCACAGTTTCATCGCTGAGATCGGACCCGCATCGTAGAGATCTTACAAATTTTAGACAAGACCCTTCTGAACACAAATTTGCCGCTACAGATGGAACGGAAATCTCAGCAGTTTCCGTAATTAATCTGGCATGGTCATCACAGTATAGTTCCAGGCCGTCTTTTATGTAAAACTGAAACTGACCAGTACGGAAACAGAGGATTTAATGAACGGAGCAACCTAACTCGCATTGTCCAATTTTTCTTTTATTCTGGAACTTTTCAAGAAAGTCACCAACTCCGTGAACCTCAGGACATTCAGTGGTTCTTGGGATATGGGAACATTTAATAAACCGCTCCAACGACTTGCATAGCACTAAGTCCATGATGTTTTTCTCAAAAACAAAAGCACTAGAATGTGCTGATGTAGATACTTCTTTGGCATTTGGCATAAATTGAGAACGTAGTATGTGGGTGGGAACAAGAACGATCTCACCAAAGCAATCCAAAAAAGCGAGTTCACTAAACCGTCAGTGCACCTTAGTGAGGTCATATAGAGGTACATCTGTCTTGTTGTCTGCATCAGGTATTGCCATCAATAAATCCCGTGTTCTAACTGATGAAAAGTGCTCAAAAACCTCTGCTCCTTTGTCGGACAACCCACAAACAAACTGAAAAACATCTCTAAGGCCTTAAAATCCTCCACAGTGCATGCGTGCTGCTCAATTCCACCGAGATTTCCTTCAGGAACACATCTGTAGGTGACGAACCACGCCGCCCCAACTATTCTTGAATACTTTTGTGGATAAAAGACATCATCTCCTTAGGGTCCAAACTTAGTCCGAACTCGGAAACTTGAAGAAGACCAACAATAACACTCTCTTCACCACGAACTTTCTCAGAAAGATGACCAAAGTTGAACAACAGATCGCCTCGAAGAAGACCTTCCGATGCAACTTTTTCCTATTTCAGTAAGGATCTCCTCGTAATCGGCTTCTATCAGCTTAGAGGCATTAGAAGAAGAATGCCTTTTATGGCTGTGCTGTAAAATGTGTTTCACAATTGCTTGAAACAATTCAGTTTTACTTTTAAATCCTTCTTTCAACTTTTCCTTTTCTTCCTTCCACAGCAAGCAAAAAAACATGGTCAGTAACGGAACTCCTGCTAGGTCTTTCAGCTTACTTTTTCGCAGGAACTCCAATAGACCATCCACCTCAATTTGGCTACTCAGGAATTTTATCAAAAAGTCCTTTTGATCACACCAGTTAAACCCAGTGATCTCGGCATGTATGTCAGCACAATCTTACAGCTCATCAGCACGTGAAGATCGAGTGGTTACCAAGACGCTGCAGTCTCGCAGAATATTCTCGTAGAATATTTTGTAGATTGGAGAGTTCCTTCTACCGCCACACTTTAGTTCTGCTACACTACCAGTGCGGTACCCGTCATAGCCATCATACACAAGGAAGACGTTTTCTTGGTTCTCACGAATGTAACTGTGTAGATCGTCAATTGAAGATGTTTCATCGTCTGGAAACACGCGAGACTGACTTAAGACTTCTTTAAACGTCTGGCACTTCGATACTTCTTTGAGATTGACAGAAACAACGACGTCAAACGTCCTCAGTGCATCTTCCCGTTCCACAGACATCTTCGTCTCTCGAAGATTCCACCAATCCAAAAGCAGCTTGTTAACGCAAGTCGTTTTTCCAATTCCAGTCTCTCCCTGCACGAGAATTCTCTTTGCTACAACTCCGTTCTTCTTCCTCTTTCAGCTCCTTTCGTGATGACCCAGCTGTGGTTTGTTCTTGTTTCACCCAGGCCAGTCGAGTGTAGATCTGTTCAAGGTCCACCTGTAATACTGACGACCAAGCAGTGATGGGCACCCTGGCTGTTTTTTGCTAATGCTCTGCAAGTTTCCTCTGACAGGTTTTCACACCAAACGTCTCCCTAGGAGAGGCCTCTGGTGAGAGAATACATCACAGGAAATGAAATAGAAACGGAAAACAATTAAAACATTAAAAAAACAAGATCATATTGTTTGATTCAGACACAGTTTAATTTTAGAAGTTGCGTTCCGTAAATGACTTCCAGCTTCCAAATAAATGAGTTCCCCAAATGTCTGTGTTCCAGTTTGAGCAACGAGGTGATTAAAGACGATCACAAATAGTAGCAGTCTCCTTTAGCGTTGTAGTTGAGATTTACAGAACACAAAAGGGCTGTTTCTTTGTTCGACCATGACTCCAAGATCTCCTGCCATGTCCACGAAAACAACCACGAAATGGATTTTGGAAGAATCAGGGTGGTTGGACATGAGGCTAACTTTTACGAGCGACTCTTCTTGGAAGCCAGGAGGTCAATAAATTAAGCATCCGTTATCAAGAAATGACCACATCGCCATCCCTGAAGTTTGGCACGCGCTTAAGTCTCGCGCTATAATTAAACGTTTTCTTGAAACTTCACGCGGAATTTTCCCCAGCGCGCGTTCGACGCGCTGCTTTTTGAATCACTTATACTAACGTTAATATTTCAATTGATGAAGGCTCTAGCCTCAGCCGAAACGTCTTGAACGAAACATCAAAAACCAGTAAGTGCCAAACCATTTTCTTACAATCTCAGGACCTTTAGCATACTCTTCGTGACAGTCCCTTTCGCTCTCGCTAAATAAGAGATGGAGCAATGTGACCGCGCTGGGGTGAGTTGAGAGTGTTCAAGGTAAGGGAAAGGAAGGGAGGACAAGTGAGAAGCGCGGTGGTCAAGCGAGAAAGAGAGACAAAATGGTTGCGGTTACCAACAGCCGAACTGGTCTGAAATTAGATGCATAGCTCTTATTTATTCTCGCTTAGTAAGGGGGTGATAAGAGTAGCATACTATTGAGCTATCTTTGTGTCGTCCTGATTGAAAAATGTATTATTCCCCAAGATATGACATCGGTTCATTTAGCAGATTAACCAGGCGCGAGGGCTGTACTTCGCTCTTATTAACCGAGCAGGAGGTCTGTATGGGAGAATATTGACCTCGGTCGCGTGTACCGACCTCACTGCGTTCGGTCTGTACGACCTCGATCAAGATTCTCTCATACAGACCTCCTGCTCGGTTGATAAGAGCTAAGCACAGCCGGTCTAGATCAAGTCTAGATGGGAAAATCTAGACCGTTTTCAACATCGATTTCAGCCAATCAAATTCGAGAATTCGGTAGTTCCCAGTCCTTGTGAAACAGCCACATAATAATGGTAGATTATCGTCCATGGTCTTGACAGTACGGACCGAGCGCAGCGAGCTGTGGCCGCTCAA